GAGGATGTTTGGACAATGGTATAAGAATATTTAATTTTCAGTTAATTTCGTTAATAAAAAAAAATGAGAAAAATTGTGGACTTGACAGTTAAGCAAATTTGTTTCAAAATATTTTTTTTAATGTATTTAATATATAGAAGATAAAAAAATGAGAAAAATTGTGGGCTTGATACCTAAACAATTTTGTTCCAAAATGCTTATGTTTTAATATATAGAGGATGGGTGGTTTGATCCTTTAAACTAGTGAAATTAGATAAATAATGGTCCAGTTTAATAACAATCTGTGGTTTGGTTTGGTTTAAGTTACAAGAATAAATATTTCTTAGAATCTTGACCAGATTAAGAAATTTAGTTTGGTTTGGTCAAAGTATTATAGTGATCTTTTCATGCACAAAAAAGAAGCATTATAGTTATGTTGCTTGTAACATAAGAATGTGACGATTAATATTTGTTGATGCACAATTTCTTGTTTTTATCATTTCAAATACTAACATCAACATAATTTTTCATATTATATGTTTGTTTTAATAAATGTTTTTTCAATTTTTTCTCATTTTAAACAATGATTAATTTTGTTGGAAAAAAAACCTATGATATTATTCACTAACAAGAATGATCCATGACATACAATTTTTTTTTTATTATTTCAAATACTAACTAATTTATCATATCATATGTTTGTTTCAATAAATGTTTTGTTTATTTTGTCCCATTTTAAACAATGATTAATTTTGTTGGGAAAAGACCTATGATAGATTTAGGATTTCTTTATTGTTCGTATGTACATTGAGTAATTGATATTGTATCACTTATTGTTTTTTAGACCTATGATAAATTTAGGATTTTTTTATTGTTTTTTAGGATTTCTTTATTGTTCGTTTATACATTGAATCATCGATACTAACTCAAGGAATCTACTTATATTTGCTTAATTAGCATTGAAAATGGGATAGATTACGAAGCATCAGATACGCAATATGAAGTTGATAAGGTAAAACATCGCCTTTTGATGAAGTAGCAAGTCAAAACATTTCAGCGTACTTGCAAGACCAGCACAGACGACCAATTGTGGCTTTGCAGAATCTGAGAAGTAGTATGAAGTCTACAATGCATGGAGTAAATCAGTTTTCCAGCGACTTTCGTAAGATCTCTCACTAATTGTGTATTGCGTACAGTGTTTTTATTTGAACTAAATCCTTAATATTATGATTCTTCTCCTAGATCTTATGCTCAATGTAGTTGAGACAGATAATTATGTTCTCTTTGAAGAAAATCAAAGGCTGCGCGGAAATTCAAAAAATTAAACAATTAATCTGACACTAATCTTTTAGCATTATATTATTCAGCAAAATATTGAACTAAGGTTATCGTCACGTTTATGATGTGATGATGACACACGGCGTTTGATGGGCCATATCAACGCAAAGCACACGAAGCTTGAACTTAAAAGTTTTTTTGAAGGCCCATTGATCTCGGTAGGTTTTCTTACATAAGGGATGTTATGTACTTGAGAGTTGAGAGCATCTGAAAACGTTTTACCAATCTTTTTTTTTGAAACAAGGGCAACGTTTTACCAATCTCAACATGCATATATGTAAGTAAAATGATTTCAATCAAATTATTGTGGTATGGACACGTGAAAAATGGTCAACGAGAACGTCTAATCTAATCTCCAACTATCAAAAGCTACTTTGAAGAGTGTAGGTTTTGCTTTTAGGGGAGATGAATCCATATTCAGGTAGAGATATTAGATATATGATTGCAAAAGGTTTATGTTTTTGGTTTAAGTGAGAGAGAACAAAAAAAAATTCGACAAAGATCTCTACATTAATAAGTACTAAGACATTGACGTAAGCCTAAGGCGGCTTTATATGTTCATTATTGTAGACTTTGTAGTGGCATCTATATGTCGACTCCAATGAAGGGTAAATGACAATAAAAAGATGAGCAATAATTCTCCATTACTCGAGATACTTTTTTTGTTCAGAAGATAAGTTATCAGAGTTGAATATTAATTTCGTATACTATGGTTGTTTTAAAGGAGTTGTATTCATAACTTCATATGTGAATTTATCATAGTGTCGCAAGAAAATTAACAAAAATTGTCTATATGCTAAGGCATAATTTCTTTGTTAAATAAAATTACAAACAATATATAGTCTAAAAAACATTGGACATGCGCTAATATTTTTTTGTGTTTGTTCTCCCTCACTTCAAAATCAATAAAAAGGTTAGAACTTTATCCCATCAAATAGTAAAATTTACTTAAATAGCATGGAACACTCATGTTCTACTTTTGTCTTTCCTGGTTCGATCACTTTTTATTAGAAGTTGACCCTTGTCTTGTTTTGTAGCACTTTGCAAGTGCGCACTTGTTCGAACCAACACATAACAAAAAGAAAGAGAGTTGCTTTTGCTTTAGCTTCTAACTATTCTTGTCATTCTTTTTTTTTTCATGTTTCCACTCGTTTCTCTCAACCACATGAAAAGAAACATGAGTTAATTTGGTGCTACATACAATTTATATAAGTGTTTTAGCCAATTTTGTTGAATAATTTGGAGTATTTGGCAATATACTTTTTAAATTTAGTTTATGGCTTTGGATTTAAATTGGGATGTTCAATATTAATTTATACTACTTGACCTAATCAAATTTCAACGTATATCTCACAATTTAAAAACTACAAAGAAAATGTTACCGCGTTAAATTTTTGCCTCAAGACATTATTTATTACTATGTATAATTTACCCACATTGGAAATGGTCAGGAAGAGATTTTACAAAGATTTGAGATCAAGAGCAGAAATGCAAAACACACAAACATAATAAAAGAAAAACTCAATCTATCAACTAATTTTAAACATAATCTCCTCAGAGTTTTAGTAAGCTTCCATAAATCTCCAGTCTCACTTCTACGGCGAAGACGATGAAGGGTTTAAAGGGCTTGGCTTTGGACTAGTTTTCCCTTTTCCGGCGAGCCTAGGACTCATCTCACCTCTCAGTTCATTCACTCTAGGACTAAACACTTGAGACAGACTCCGATTATAGACCGGCGTTGAAGTCGAGCTATTAACCTTAGGACTACATGTGTGTCTAAACTCTCCTCTGCTTCTTGTAATAAACTCATCAAGAATCTCAGAATCACATGGATATGAAGCTGTTGATCCCATCTCAGCTTCCTGCAATACCAAAAAATATGTTATAAACAAGAAGCCAAGGAACCAAAGA